TAGCAGTTTAGGGCTTGGTGTTTGCATCTGTAGTCCTAGGCTGAAGCAGGTGGATCATTTGGGCTCTGGAGTTCAGGCCAATCTGACGTAACATAGGGAGACCCCATTCCAAAAACAAAAAATGAAAGTTTAGAGTCCATGAGAAATGTTCAGTGGCAATTATGTGCTGCCTTAAAAAGGGTAAACAGGGGCTGGAGATGTGGCTCAGCGGTAGCACGCTCGCCTGGCATGTGTGCGGCCCGGGTTCGATCCTCAGCACCACATACAAACAGAGATGTTGTGTCCACCGATAACTAAAAAATAAAATATTAAAAAAAAAGGGTAAACAGAAAAACTTCCTAAGTGTTTTTTTAATTAGAAGGGTATAAGGTTTGGAGTTCTTATGTAACATTATGTGTCAGGTGTGTTGGTTGGGTGCACAGCAGTGCAATGTGGTGAGTCCTGGGATTTCCTGTTAACCTCTAGGTGACCTGAGTTCTACACAGGATAAAATCTGGTGACAAACTCCCTTTGATCCCATTTCAGAGTTGGGAGACATCCTTCTTCAGTGACTACTTCATCAAAGAACAGAAGCACCTGTGGTGGGAAAGCTGGGCTGATGGGAATGGGGTGAGGGGACTTTGGAGAAGAAAAGAGTGGGAATGCTCTCTGCCACCAGATACAAGTCACATCCCAGTTCCATGGGTCTTTACATCTCCAAGCCTTGCTGGCCCTGGAGATGACTTAAGATGTGAGGTACTTCATTTGCAAAGCCATCCCCAATTGGCCACTGACCTTTCCTTTCAGCCATGAAGGGTTGGACATTCAGGGCTTAATGAATCTGGGTTGAGTGGCTAGTAAATGAACACTTTATAGTTTAGTCCTAAGTTCTTGTACTTATGGCAACCACAGTGGTACTGTGGGGTACACTGAGAACAGGTCCCAAGTGTCCTGCCTCCCCTCAGATCAGGAGAATTCCCATGTATACATTGTGGTCTTGGGTTTTCTGATGTAATTTAGACTTTTTTTCTGTGGTTTAAACAAAGTCTTTCATCTTTTAAAATTATAAACACTTTTAAATGGAGTAGAAAAGTTGAGAGAATATGTTACCTGCATATGTAACCACTTCGATTGAACAGTTGTTAATGTTTTATTAGTTTATTTCCATGTGTGTATATTTGATTTTTCTCTGAAGTTTCTGAAAGTACATAACAGACTTTATGAAAAAGTAAAATACATTGTAGACATGAACCTCACTGCTAAATACTTTTAACATGCATCTGAGTGTGCAAACGAGGCAAAAATTTTAGTTGTTCATTTTTTTGGCATGGTTGTAGGGTTTTATGGGGAAGTCCAAGGCACTGGGAAAGCAGCTATGTAGAAGACAAGCCTCAGTCAGCAAATAACTTGGCTGACTGACGACACTTACTCATGCATTAGACCTACTTCCTTATTTCTAGCCTCAGTTTAGAATAATAAAAAAAGGTATGCCTGGGTGCCTATAATCCTAGCTACTCATGAGGCTGAGGCAGAAATATGGCAAGTTTGAAGTCAGCTTTGGCAATTTAGTGAGACCTTGTCTCAAAATAAAAAGAGGGGCTAGGGATAAAATTTCAGTGATAGAATAATTGCTGCACATGACCCTGGATTTAATCCCCAGTACCTCAAAAAAAAAAAAAAAAAAAAGAAAGTATGCTGCAGTATTTTAGTTTAGTTAATGAAAAGGAGTAAAGACAGATCAGCCATCCATCTTAAGTAGTAAGATAAGATGCTGGGAAGTGCCTTGAAGGTCTCAAGGACCTTCAAGTTGTGGGAAAGTAAACTTGCCAGGGAATTTTTGTGTTTTCCCCCCCCAGAAATTAATTTGTTAACTATTTTTGAAATCCAGTTCTCCTTCCAGTCCCCCACCTGGATCCCCGTTGGCTTGAGCACAGAATACTCCTCTGTTCCATGGTGTATGTGACCATGAACAATATTGGACACATTCTGCACATGTTAAATTTTATATAAATATTATAGCTTTATTATTCTCATCTGCTTTTTAAAGAAGCTACTATTAACTCCTGCATACAGTTGTTAAATGAGAATATGTTTGTAAATACCTGGTCCTGCATAGCCAGAGAGTAGAGATTTTATAGGTCCATTTTACTTCATACCTGATAAGTGTTGAGAAAACATAGACATTTAAATGGGCAGATAGTCAACCCTCAGTCAAGTGGTGCTATGGAAAGCTTTCTACTAGGCTTGCTCAGCCTAAAATCACTTTTTCTTTATCCACCCGAAGGCCCCCTGAGGGGCCCTCAAGGAGCTGCTGGAGGGGTTTTGTATAGGCTAGGAGACATCCTAGATGTTATACTGTCTATTGGGGCTGCCAGGAAACTGGAAGAGAATTGTGAAGGACCGGGGTAATATTTATTCTTGTCTGGGCTCCTACCTGGAATCTGGGAGACTGATGACCTACCTTCCTGTGGCTCCTTGTTCTAGCTTCAGATACCATCACTAGTGTTCCTGGGAAGGCCTCTCCTGGTACCCAAGGAATGAGAATTAGCTGAGAGCACCTGCCAGTCCCTCAGCCACCTTTAGCCCCTGGCACAGGGTAATGAGTACAAAAATTAATCTAGCAGGGGACGAGCAGAGAGTATCACCCCCTACCCCTCAACTCACCTTTCTTTTTTTTTAAAATATTTATTTTTTAGGTGTAGTTGGACACAGTGCCTTTATTTTATTTACTTTTTTTTTATGTGGTGCTGAGGATCAAACCCAGGGCCTCGCACATGCTAGGTGAGTGCTCTTACCACTGAGCTACAACCCCAGCCCCTCAACCCTGCCTTTCATTTGCATGTGCTGGCAACCAAATGGCCCTGGAGTTTGCAAAGCCTTCCAGTGGCGCTAGATGGCAGTCATGCTTAGAAGAGTCCAAGAGGGTGGAAAGAGTGGAAATTAGGGACTCAGTGATCTCAAGGACCTTCAAGGTGTGGGAAAGTAAACTTGCCAGGGAATTTTTGTGGTTTTTTTGCCCCCAGAAATTCAATTGTTATCTATTGTTTGAAATCCATACGTCATTTCCCTACTGAAAAGGTAGGTGGTGGGGGTCTAGTTGGAAGATGGGGAGGGCTGATCTCTGAGCAGCTTGGTAGGCTGGCTTATTGGTTTTCTAAATATCTTAGAGGCATAGACTGGTTGAAAAGGTACACTGATGGATACAGTACATCCCATTTGGCTTTTCTACAGGGGAGAGACTGCTCAGCACAAAGAGTGTCAGTCATGCTCAGAGGTTTCAATCCACAGACCTTTTCCTTGTCTGACTTGGGCTTGGTTCCATTTTGTACACAGGGAACCTGAGCTTTCTGGCCTGCAAGTACTAGAGGATTTGGGGAGTCAGAATGGTCTTGTAGGATCTTTCCAGTCCTGGAATTTGGTTGTGCTTGGATCCTGTCAGTATCTTTCTGTACCTAATTCCTTTTTATCCCATCTCATATGATATTTGCCTGGAGCTCAGAGGTGAGAAGGGCCCTGGGTCTCAGAGAATGTTGGTATTATATAATGGTATCTGCTGTGGGCACAGGCCAGGGAAACAGGAGAGACAGCCTGTGTGTAAGGTATTTACCAACTCTATACCAAAACCTCAAGCTCCTTAGGGCTAGAACTGTGTTATGCTCACCCTGCCTCCCAATTCCTATTGGTGCTTTGTAGATGCAGAATGTTAAGGAGGTCCTTCTGAGTGTGACCCCCTGCATGTCTTTCCCACTTCTGCTGTAGCCCAGGTCTGTAGCTTATGCAGGACTTGGTCAGGTTGAATTTAGGTGAGGAGGACAGATAGGTGGAGCTATGTCTGTACACTGTCATTGTGTCCTGTTCCAGGCACCCTTGTCCCATCCATCCCGTCTCTCCACAAACCCTGTAGGTGTTCTCATCTTTTTGTGCACCTTAGTTGTTTTAGAAATGAAATTCTCAGTGGTCAAAAGGGGCTGGCGTTGTAGCCCACAGTGAAAATACCAAGTCCCGTCAGGCCATCTAGCCGTTATTGAGATAGCTGCACAGACACAAATGAGACTAGTGTGGTTGAATGGTGTCCCCACAGACTTTCCCATCCCCTAAAAAATTTTAAGCTGGTTCATTCCATCTTGTGTCAGCTAAGTTCATGCTGGGTGTCCTGTGGATATGGGGGTAGTTGGCCTGCTGACACTGTGCTCTGCACACTAGGGTCCTCAGATCCATTGGGTTAGATGAACAACATCCCACCAGGGAAAAGCCCTGTGGGTCTTCTGAGCTGCCAGTGGGTGGACCTTTCTCAGACATCTCCATCCCTTTTTGGATCTGGGTGTTTTGTCCAGCAAGGGTGTGCAGGCCTGAAGGACTAGGGGAGAAGTAGGGACAGCTGTGGATCTTCAGGATCAGATGTGGGGAGAAATGGACTTTTACATTTTCTGCGGAACTTCCAGGGTTAGAAAGGGTGGCTGGAAGTGGCTTTCTGGTCAGTCAAGTGAAAAAGCTGTTCCTCCATGAGGTCAGTATGTAGGATCTCTGCCTAGCGAGGTTGTGAGATAAGTGATAAGGGAAGCAGCAAGTTAGGAGGCCAACCATAGGCTTAGGACAGAGTCTTCTGGGGCTAGGAGTTATCCTCTGGGGCCACCATCCCAGTCCCACCCTCTTAGGCCAACGTGAGAGGGAGCGATGACTGACTAGACAATGACTGACCAGACTCAGCAGGGCTGTGCCTCCTGCCCGCCTCTTCCCCTTCTCCCCAGGTTGCAGCTCCTCCTCTTAAAGGGGCCCATAGAACTCCCTAGGCCCTGGCTGAAACTTGGAGGGAGTGACGCTTTAACAGTGTCTGGTGTCACTCCTCTTGTGCCCGCCCCCTGGCAGCCCAAGTGGCTGGAACTTGAGCCCCGCCCGCCGTGAGGCTTCTGAGTGGAGCTGGAGCCAGTCAGAGGCCAGAGCCTGGATGCCGGAGCATTGCCCACCTGCCGGTGAGCCCACAGGAGCTACAGGTGACTGCAGGTGACCAGCCCTGGAAGCCATAAGTAACTGGCAGCAGTGAGCAGTTTCTCAGGGAATTTTCCTACCTTGTCCTGACTAACTCTGATGACTGCTTCCTACCCGGTGGGAGTGCCCTTCTAGCACTTTCGGGGCTGCCAGTTGGCTCTAGTTGCTGTGAAAGATGGGGCTCCGTAGGCCTGAGGACCCCGTCCAGATAGTCTTGATCAAGTTGTGGCCTTTCCTGTCTCCCAGGCAGGTCACGGGGCCCAGGCTGCATGAGCTCACTTCCTCCACATCCTGTGTTATCTCCTGCCTGTAGCTGCAGGGTGGGTAGTAAGGGAAATGCTGGGAACTGTTTTCCAGTGCCTGGCGCCCTAGCATATTTCCTCAGTTCTGCCTCCTAGGGCTGGGGCACTGGGTACCTGAGGAAGAGGGAAGCTGCCCTGTTCCTCAGAAAGGCCCATAGGTGTTGAGACTTGTCACTGTGTCACCATCCAAGGGCTAGAGAGAGGGTGGTGTTTTGCCTTTTTTCAGAGCCTTTTTCCTTACAGGTTCCATAGGCGTTTCTTTTCTTTGGGAAATTAAAGAAGATCCCACTTCTACTCCTTCCCCTTCCTTGATCCCCCTGGGCCACTGACTCTTATAACAGGTGCCTCTGGGCCCCTCTGTTTGCCCTGTCTTCTCTTGCTCTTGGCTTTCCAAAATGTCTCACCCTTTTGTCCAGAGAGAATACATTTTCCCATCCCCTATGCTTGTGAAGTTCTGTCCACATCTAGCCCTTAAATGTGAGGGAGGAGGGCGTGGCCACCTCACTGGACACAACTGCCAGATGAACTGGGGAAGAAGTGGTACCAGGCCTCCAGAGTAAGGGAATGTACAGAAAGTAGATGGGTAGATATATGGTAGATAGGTCATTTGGAGCACTGGAGGTTTGTCCTGAGGCTTTAGGAAGGAATGACCCTAGCTCCAGGGAGATTTCCACCAGGGAGCAGGAGCCAATTCTCAGGATGTCTCTGGCCAGAAGGCTGAAGCTGCAAAGCCCCATGTGGTCAGGGAGAGCTTTGGGAAGGTGGTTGACTGGCATTCCCATTCCCCTCACTGCCTGCCCTTCCAACCCAGGCTTCAAATTGGAATCCACCAAGGTCTGAGCTAACCAGGTCAGGAACAGCTGTGCACACCTAAATCACCCAGGTTCACACATGTGCACATTTCCACATAATGCCAATACTCTCCCATCCATGCCCACAGTAACTGATAACTGGCCTAGGCCATTCAGCCAGCTTCGGTTAGAATGTTCCATTCCACTGGGGAGTGGGGAGGCAGTGAGGTGATAGAGATATGGCAGTGCTGCTCAGGTATATGCCCTCAGGATAGTATGTCCTCCACCTACTCCCACATGGTTGTATTAATCATGCTTCCTTTCCCATTTGGGCTTCTCTTTCTGAACTGCTCTAAGCCCCTGCTTGCCCTTTATCAACGTTTGACCTCCTAGAGTGCAGATTTGCCTTTCTGGAGCTACAGTCGAACTATCAAGAAGCCTGGGAACAAGGGTAGGAGTGAGGGCTTCTGAGCAGTTGTTCTAGTCCATGGTTGCAGCTGTGCTGTGAGTCTCAAGGGAAGTAGGTGAAAGATACTTTCCTTCCCATTTCTGAGATGAAGAAACTGAGACCCAGAGAGCACTTGTGACTTGTCCTGCTTTTTGCAGCTCTTGGGGTGAATTTGGGGGCAGGGGGCAGGCAGGATTACACTGACCAGATTGCGGCCTACCACAAAGCCCTCTGAGTTCTCACATTCTAGGTGACTGGCCTTTAGGCCATGTAATACCTTTAAAGTTCCACTCATCACAGTCAGAAACTCACCTCCACAGAAAAGTGCTTGACTCTCAAAAGGGAGGGAAGGTGTCAGCACTTCCCTATCTCAGGGCTCCCTCCTTGCGCAGTTCCTCATCTAGGGTCTGAGCACTCAGGGGCCAGGGAGGGTGAAATCTCTGGCTTGGGGCCCAAAGGTTGTTCCAGGTAGAGGGCAAGTGGGACTCTTAAATGGGGAGCTGGAAACACTGCTGGCCAAAAAGTAGCTCTGCTTTGGAAAGTGGGAAGGCAGTAATAATTTGGACAGACAGTGCCTGTTTGTTGGGGGACAAATAAGTTTATTTTCCTCCCTTTGGGGGGAACTTTCAGATGAAGGAACTCTGATACCCTGGTCTGAGTGTACCATTTTAGAAGAAGTAGAATAGTGATAAAGATAAGGACCTTCTGCCTGTCCCTTCCCTGGTGGTGGGCCAGTGCAGATTTGGTGTCTGGATTCTAAGGCAGCTTTTAGAGTCCCTACAGGGAAGAATGTCTCTCCTCATGCTGTTCTCCTTGAGCTTCCTCCTCTGTAGCAAGAGGAACCTGGGCCTGCCCCACTTCAGTGTTCCATCCAGCCTGACCAGACTCCTGGCTTTGTAGGTCTCCAGTCTAAAGCATCCTGGAAGGGAGGCCTGACTGGTCCTCCAGAGCTGTAGAGAATGAAATGGAAGGTTCCCACAGGAGTCAGAACCTGTGGACTTTGACCAGGTTTAATTTTCATGCTTGTGCCTTTCTGACACATTCTGTGCTGTCATGGTTAGGATACCATATGATAGGTCAGTGAGGGAAAACTTGGCAGGAGGCTGAGACTTCTGGGTCTTTTCCTTTTCTCCCATCCCACAAGATTACACTTGCCTCCCCATGAATCCTGGATGTGCTCAGCTCCTCTGCTCCTAGTCTGTACTTTATAGAGCAGGGAAAGAGCCATCTCTGTAGATCTAGGCACCAGTATCATGCCAACTGCCCATCCTCTCCTTGGGCCTGTTTCCCTGTCCAGTTTGAAACCTGTGGACCAGGGAGGATACTTGTGTGCCCAGTTCCATGGCAGAATAGTTGAAGTGACTTTACCATTGTGGATGGGAATGTTACTGGGAGGCTCACATGAGACAGAAACAGGATGTCCATGGAACCCTGGGCCTGGTGCTTAGGACAGGATGGGGCTCCCAGGTTTGTGTTGATCTGGTGCTAGCATCTCTCCAAGGAGGAGGCTCAGGTACACTGTTTGCTGGGTGAGGCCTGGCCCAGCCTACAGTAAGCTGTCCTTCCCACTCAAGAGTGGGTCTGGGAGAGAAAGGCACCTTTGGAGAGGGGGTGAGATTGGACCAGGCCTCGCCATTTGTTTTATCAGGAGGAGAAACCCATTCTATGTCCAGACCTTAGTTGCCTTGTTGTCCCACCTCCCAGAAGACACTAGCATACCAGAGGATTCTGTGGCTTTTGTGGGCAGGTGTCAGGGATGGAATTTTTATGTGTCTGGCTGAGGTGGATTTGTTAGGGCAGCACATGTTTATCCTTGTGTGGATAGGGTGACATCTGAGTTGGGGCCTTTCCTCTTTAAGTGTTACAGTGTGTTGGCCATGCCAGCTGGCCCTTGCTTGGGTCTGTTCTCTACTTTAGGCAGGAGCTCTTGAGGCCTGCATTCTTCCATTCAAAGATGGTGACAGGAGCCTGTTTCCTTCCAGGGCTGTGGTTGAGACTGGAGCTGAAAAGATGTGGGTTCCCAGTCAGCCCATGTCAGCCCATGTCAGCCCACCTCGGACTACCTCCCTGGGACTTTGAGCACCTTGATTGCCCTGAGCTGAGATGGCAACAGCTGTGGAATGTTTGCTCTTCTAGTCCTGTTATCTGTGTAGTGGGAAGGGTTTTCTCAGGTGAGGTGTGTCCTGCAGATAGTCAGGGAGGGGCCTGGCCAAAGTGCTTTTCTGAAGCAAAGATGGAAAAAGCAGAGTGGTATGGGCTTCAGTCCTGGCCACTTTCCAGCCCCAGGTTGGTTTTCCCTGAAGCCCACCCAGGTACACAGTTTTTGAGGAGGCTTGGATAGGGTCACAGCCAGGTATGGGGGCTCTGAGACTAAGAGGGGTGAGGAGATAGCCAGAGCAGACTCAATGCTTAGGTTGTTACCATGGTGCTCTGTCTGCTTGCCTGATCCTCTTGCTCCTCAGATGCTACTTTGTAACCTGAATCAAAAATGGGTCAGGTCCTGGTGAGGGAGGAGACTCTGCCTTGAGCTCGGGGCTCAGATTCCCACCTGTACTCTTGGGGCCTAGAAGCCCTGGCAGCCTCCGGTCCCCTGTCTGCCATGGTTCGCTGGAGCATGAAGCCCTAGGGCCTTGCATACGTGCTGCCCTCCTGGCAGAGCTAAGGGAGTGGGTGAGCTGGGCAGACTGGCTTAGCCCAAGGCAGGAGGGACCAGACAGGTGGCCATACCCTGTGGGACTGAGTGGGCTGAGTGCAGGGGCTTCTGCTCTGGGCAGAAGCCTGAGCAGGTGTGACAAGTGCTTGTCTGTTTGCAATAGCTCTGACCCTCTAACCTGTGCTCTGTGAGCCACCGAGACTGAACCAAGTGGGGAAGCTACACCACCAGCCACCAGTGCCCCTGGAGCAGTGACAGCACAGGAGATTCTCTGGCGTGGGGGGAAGGGGAGGAAGGAGGAAAAACAAAGGCGAGTGAACGAACGAACAACGAGCGAGCGAGCGCAGAGAGCCTTGCACCGCCCTCCCTGTGCCTGCCCACGATGTGTCAGTCAGAGGCGCGGCGAGGACCAGAGCTCCCAGCAGCAGCGAAATGGTGAGATGCTGTCCAACGCGTCCTAACCCCACTGTTCCCCGCCACAACCTCCGGAAGGTCAGAGTTCATGTCCAACGGCCCCGAAGCGGAGGTGGCAGCAGGGGGCCCCGGGGCCAGCCCCCACAGCTGGAGGGACCCAGCGAGGGGGGCCTGAGCACACTGAGTAAGAGAGCTCGCTTCAGGTACCTGCGGTTAGGGTTGCAAGGAGAGCTCAGAGGTGGGTGGGGTGGGGGTGGGGATCAGTCACCTGGCTTTGGAACTAGTGTCTTGGTCTTTATTCAGAGATGCCTGAGAGAAGGGGCTTTCCTGTAGCTCTTCCAGGATTGGTCTCTGCTCTTCTGCAGTGAGCAGGGCGGGGGAACCCTGTGGGAGAGCAGTGATTTGTTTGTCTTTGCTTGGCCCCTTCTACCTCCCTAGACTTTTAAAAAGCATAATGGAAAAAACTGTCCACAGTGGAATGGGAGAGAGAAAGAAAGCAGGGCATCAGGTGAGCTGTGGGGATACAGTTGCCTGCAGAGACTGGAGCCCTGCCTTCTATCATCTCTGATTGAACTAAGGGGCCTTCCCCTTGGCTTAGATCTCCATTTGTCCTGCTCTTACTCTCAGCTGAGACACCTCTTTGTTCTTAGTTTGCTTAGCACCTGGGTGACAGAGAATGCAGCTTCTCTTGGAGAGTACACAGTCAGAGATGGCAACCTTAGATTGTCTATTGAATGCAGTCCTTTTGCAGATGAGGAAACCAAGGCCTGGGATTATTTTGAGTGGGTAGCAGTGTGGTCTCCTGACAGTTACACTGCAGCCTCAGAAGTATTTTCCGGGGCCTAGGTATGTGACAAAGGGACTTTGTTGCAACTAAGGAGATCAGGGTTCTGGTGGAAGAGCCCATTCCAGCCACTGCAACTCCTGCAAAGCTGAGCCTGTGCCAAATTTGTGCTGGTGGTACACTGGGGAGTGTGTATGTACCAGCTCAGATTTGCTGAAAGGAGGAACCTGTATCTTGTGTGTGGCTCTAGTAGGAAGGTGGCTTGAGAGCTTGGGGTGAAGTTCTCCCTATAAAGCCGTATATGGGTTTTGGAGAACCTAACCTGCTGGAGAAAGACTATGCAGGCTGATGGAGCTACAACTTTAGATCTTGGCTGGCCCAGTCCTTTCAATTTACCAGATAAGGAAACAAGAGGCCTGGAGCTATGAAGAGATTTTTCCCAGGTCTTGTAATGGGCAAAAGACTCATGAACGGTCACCTAGCTGACCATAGTGCCTTAGCACTATGCATTGCTATGCTGATTAACTCTGTCCTTCTGGTCCTTGTGTGGGCAGAGCTGTGCCTGAGTCCCATGCATATTGGCCATGGGAAGCTGGCAAATATGAGGCAGGCCTTGTACCTCCCTTCCCCATTTTTGCCCCAAAGGTTCTTTTTGGAGCCAATTTCAGATACTCAATCTTCTCAGATACCCAGGAATTGGGTCTAACCCTCCTCCATCCTATAGCTTCCCAATCCTAGTCCTCAGCTAGCTGTCAGGTGGGAAAGACTGGGAAATATGTCTGTTATACAGTGGTATCCAGGTCCCCAAGGGGATACTGCAGTGCTTATTGGACTCTGGTGCTCCATGGAGAGGCAGTGATCGAGGGGGGGGGGTCGTTCCTGGGTCCCTCTGAGACCCCAGCTTCTGACTCTGCATGGACATGTGCCCTGCAGGTTGCACTTCCCCCAGCTGGCCCTGCGAAGGAGGCTAGGCCAGCTGAGCTGCATGTCCAGACCTGCCCTGAAACTGCGCTCCTGGCCCTTGACTGTTCTCTACTACCTCCTGCCCTTTGGTGCTCTCAGGCCGCTCAGCCGGGTGGGATGGAGGCCTGTGAGCAGGGTAAGTGTGCACAGGCCTCTGTGGCCCAACTCCTACCCCTGGGCAGGCCTGAGGTTGGGGTACAGGGGAAAACAAGGGGACCAGTTGTCAGAAGTAGAGGCATGGCTGCACCCTTTGGGGGTATGGTATGGGAAATTTCGTAGGGAAGACAAAGGCAACTTTTGAGAAGGCCAGGTTAACCAGTGGCCATGTGTACTGTAGTAAGGTGACTGAACACTCACTGTCCACTGCCTGCTATCCTTGCTTGCCTCACTGGTGCTATTGGGGAGCTCTGGTTTTGGAAGGAACTTAGACTGGGCAGTCAGAAATTAGTGTCTCTGACTTTCAAGCTTATAAGCAATTTTTAGGAAGAATCCAGATAAATTTCTGGATATCAGAGGGTAGTTCAGGAAGGCTGGAGCCTGTTTGGGCCCATTAGTGGGAGGACACCCTTTAAGGCTGTGCCTGTGTGTGCCGTGCTCTGGGGTGTTTAATGGGTACCTAGAGGGCTCTCTTGCTTCCTGGCAGACCAGTCCCAAGGAGGAGTCCCTGTTCCTGGGCCATTGATAACTTGGGGGTGGGCATCATGAGAATTTGAGGGTGCTGCAGTACACTGGACATTAGACCAGGCTCCAACCTGTTCCTGAGAATAGCCTGGCATTACAGCAACCCAGGGCCAGGCATTACAACCTAGCCACTCCAGGTGGCTAGGCATCACTTGGAAGGGGAAAGAATAATGCTCAGGCAGCTAGTAATTCACTACTTCATAAAGGTATTAAAAGTTGGTAAAACTGATTTTTACACCTTAGGAAGTTGCTGCCTGGTTGCATCCAGATATGCAGTAGCAGCAGTCAGAAGCAGTTTCCCCTGGGGCAGTGGCCCCTTAGGTTTAGTGGCCCTGCAGGAGGGCTCTGGGGCCCCAATGTGTGGGACTGGCTCCCAAAAGTGATTCCCTTCTGCCTCCTGGGAGACCACAGGTAGGCAGCTCTGTGGACTGGCTTAGGCACAGAATGCTTCTGATGCAAGGTCTGCCGTCAGGCCCAGTGAAGCCCAGCAGGACAGGCCATCTTGAGTGCTGGCTAGGCCTGCAGGGCATCTCGGGACACTATGACATTGATATAGTACATGCATCTGAAAATGTCCTCTTTTCCTTTTAAGAAAGAGGATATACACTTTGGGCTATAGATCTGTCTGTGCTTCTGGGAACCTTTTACTCCTTTCTCAAGTGGTCTGCAGTGTAGGCAATGACCCCAGCCAAAGTCAAATGCCTATTGCCTCCTGCCAGTCTTCTCCAGACTATTACCAGGATTCCTATCTCCCATTTTCTCTTCCTTTCCTGTTTTTTGGGGGTGGGGTACTGGAGATTGAACCTAAGGGTGCTTAACTGCTGAGCCACATCCCTACCAGCCCTTTTTATTTTGAGATTGGATCTAAGTTGTTTAGGGCATCTCTTAAGTTGCTGAAGCTGGCCTCAAACTTAGGACCCTCCTGCCTCAGCATCCAGAGTTACTGGGATTATAGGCATGAGCCATCCACTCCTGGCACCACCTCTCACTTTTAAGAAGTGAGACTATGTGGACCAGTCTACTTTTCTGGGACTAAGACAGTTACTCTTTGACCTGTGCAAAGTGATTAAAGTGACCTGAGCTCTGTACATCCTGTCTTCAGTCTGTGAGAATATTTGACAAGTGCAGTCTGGTTCCTAGTGACACAGCCACATCATAACAATCAGCCCCAGGCAACTAGGCCTCCCTAGGTAGCCTCTGTTGGTTCAAGTTCTCTCCTGTGGTTGGGGGATGATGACAGTACTTGGGTTTTTTGGAATATGGTCAACTCAGCCCCCTGCCCTGTGGCCTGCAGGTGGCCCTGTACAAGTCAGTGCCAACACGTTTGCTGTCACGGGCCTGGGGTCGCCTCAACCAGGTGGAGCTGCCGCACTGGCTGCGCAGGCCTGTCTATAGCCTGTACATCTGGACCTTCGGGGTGAACATGAAGGAAGCCGCTGTGGAGGACTTGCACCACTACCGCAATCTCAGTGAATTCTTCCGGCGCAAGCTGAAGCCACAGGCCCGGCCTGTCTCTGGGCTGCACAGTGTGGTGAGGTTTAATTCATACCTCTTCCTCCTCCTTTAGGAAATGGGATATATTATCTATGGGAACCAGGTACAGCAGCCCCCATTGCCTGTGGCCTCTGTGTGGCTTTCCCAGACTCGGTCCCACCTGCCGTATAAAGTTTATTTGTCCTGCATATCCAGAGGGTGGAGCTATGGGTGTTTGACACAAGATGAGGTGGGTGTCAACTAGGGGGAGCACTCTCCCCTTCCAGCAGCAAACCTCTCCTGGTCCCTCCAGATCAGCCCATCGGATGGGAAGATCCTCAACTTCGGGCAGGTGAAGAACTGTGAGGTGGAGCAGGTGAAGGGGGTCACTTATTCCTTGGAGTCATTCCTGGGCCCTCGCACCTACATGGAAGACCTGCCTTTCCCACCAGGTGGGTTACTGCACTGTTGGGGCTGGAGTAGACACCAGAGGCTAAGGAAAGGCTGTGGGACAGGGAATAAGGAAAGGCTTGGGAGACTGTGGGGTGGGCATGCTGGCACATTGGATCAGGAATCCCTCTGACCAAAGCCTTGAGGCTCTTGGAGTCCATGTCCAGGCTGCACATAGGCTTGCTGGATTCTCATGAGCTGGGTGGCACCTGGAGCTGGTATTAGAGCCTGACCCTCTTTTCTGCCCTTCCCCACAGCCTCTTCATGTGACTCCTTCAGGAACCAGCTGGTTACCCGGGAAGGGAATGAACTCTACCACTGTGTCATATACCTGGCCCCTGGGGACTACCACTGCTTCCACTCCCCCACTGACTGGACTGTCTCCCATCGGCGCCACTTCCCAGGTAGACACAGGACTGGCCTTTGGGTTGGAGCTGCCTCTGTGGGCTTCATGCTGAGGTCTTCACTTTCTTAATGTTAGGGTACTAGGCTCCAGGCTGGGGTTATCTAGACCAGGGGTTAAACACTTAGGTTGGCTGGGTATGGGCAGGGGACTTTGGAAAACTGGTCTGCATTTGGAATGACATCAGGGCAACAGGCCATTAGTTCCTTTGGGTCTCAGGCCATCCTGGGGTAGACATACCAGGCTCTGGGGAAGGATTATCATGTTCCCTACCCCCACAGGCTCCCTGATGTCAGTGAACCCTGGCATGGCTCGATGGATCAAAGAGCTCTTCTGCCATAACGAACGGGTAGTTTTGACAGGAGACTGGAAACATGGCTTCTTCTCGCTGACAGCTGTGGGGGCCACCAACGTGGGCTCCATTCGCATCTACTTTGACAGGGTAAGCAGAGCCCAGGCCATGCCAAAGTCCACAGGCTGGACTTCTTGAATTCCCTTGCTCCATCTGCTGTGCAGCCAGATCCACTGGGCCTGTAAATTTTAGGAGGGCCTTGCTTGTAGGAGAGCTAGAACCAGGCCTGGCTATGCTGAGCATCCACTCTGAGGGACATCCCTATCAGTTAAGACCTCCTTCTCTCCTTCCCTCCCACCCACTTTGCTGCCACTCATTCCTCTGGAAGTGGCTGGGGAGGAGAGAAGAAATTAACCTTTCTGCCTGGCCCTTTACTTTTACTGGGAACCATGATTGAAGTGTGAGGAAGGAACAGGAATGAGTCATGCCAACTGAGGGTTGAGCATGTAGGCAGAGCTGGCCTGAATGAAGAAAGAATTTGGTGCCCACCTGCCCAGGGCTTGCCTTTTTGGGTGTGCCCGACTCCCCACCACTGGCTGCTGACCTTGTACCATTCCAGCTGGGAGAAAAGTCAGATCTGATTTCTCCATGTCTCTCTTAGCCACAGTTCATAGCAGGTGCCAGGACTTTGTTGTGATCTGGCTGGACTAAGCTCCCCAACCCCGAGATATTGTCCCCATCACTCTTCTTGAACTGGGCTGGATGGTGGTGAGAATGAGCAACAGGATTCCAAACACAGGCAGGATTGGTACCCCTTGCTTCTGGGTCCCCTTCAATCCCTGCCCCATTACTCCTCCCCAGGATCTGCACACAAACAGCCCAAGGTACAGCAAGGGGTCCTACAACGACTTCAGCTTTGTGACGCACACCAACAAAGAGGGAGTCCCCATGCGCAAGGGTGAGCATCTGGGCGAATTCAACTTGGGCTCCACCATTGTGCTCATCTTCGAGGCCCCCAAGGACTTCAATTTCAGGCTGAAAGCAGGGCAGAAGATCCGCTTTGGGGAGGCTTTGGGCTCCCTCTAGGTCTTCCTTCTGCCTACAACTGCCAATGCACCTAAGGGAACTAAGGGTCTTTTATAGAAGCCCTCAGGGGTGTCTAGCCAAGGGAATCACCTCAGGTGTGTGTGGGAAGGTCGATCCAGTAGAACCTGGATGATTTGCTACTGCCTGTCCCAGAGGTGCAGACAAGAGATTCTGAATCCTCACGAGGCAGCCAGAACCCGTCATGCCTGCGATCTACCCTACAGAGAGAAAAAGTGTAGGTGTGGATAACCTCACAATCACATTTGGATCTTTTTTAAATGTTGTATAAACTGGAGATTCTTCTCTCCTAGTTGGTCTTGGATATTGTTAGGCGATGCTAAGTGCGAACATGCCCTCTAGCCTCCCCATAACTGGAGAGTTTTGTTGGACCCTTTGGCTTTTTCTGGTCTTGTCCCTTTACCTCCCATAGTGCACAGGATGAGCTGCCTCTTTGGCATGGATTGTGGACCCTCCCTCCCTCCCTCCCTCCCAGAGCAGGCCACACAGACTTCATGACAACTACTTTCTGTTCCCAAACTTGCCTCACCCTGCTTGATGGAAAAGCAAAATCTTTCTTTGCATTTGGGGCTTGACTGCATTGCTCTGGACTCTTGCCAGGATCTTCTGAGGATGGTAACTATGACACGGACCTTTGTAGGTAGGCCCTGAGGAGTGACCTTCCAGAGCTTCCTTGCATCAGGCAAGGCCAATTACTGTCCCACCTGGTGGCTAGGCTGAATGGGGCAGAAGCCTAGTTTGAGCTGGCATCGCTTTTTTCAGATCCAGCTCTACATAAAGTATGGGAAATTCCTGTTTTTCCAAGGACTGTGTTGGAGGCTAAAAGTATATGGTGGGTCAGTACTAGAAAACCTGTCCCAGGTGACAGGTATGTAGGCCTTGAGCAGTGGTGGGAACAGTCAGGTTACCTGTTGATCCTGTGAATTTCTCCTCCAGGGGAACTCATTGAATTTTTTCAACTGTATCAGTAGCACAGTATTTTTGTATGAAAAGTGGGAGACTTCTGAACAGTAATTCATTTAATTGCAAGACATTTTGAAATAAAAAGCTTAAAAACTCATTGTAGCTTTGCATTGTTCCTGGAGGCAGCTTGAGGCCTCCCCTGCAGCAGGGCTCCTGTCTTCCTGAGGTGAGCCCACTAGCACAGAGCCTGCCGCAGGGCCTGGATGCGCTCAACGCAGGTATTGATGTGTTGGCGCTGGGCCTGGAGCTCCTTGTCCAGCTGCTGGATCTGTAGTTCTATCTGGGGGTAGGGAGAAAGAGGCCCAGTTGAGAGGAAGCACAGTCTGGGGGACTGTCCCTGGAGATGGTCTAGGGTCTCACCTCTTCTAGTTCTTTCTGCACTCGTTGCTCTTCATCCTGGTCCTCAGGCCTGGGCTCTTCCTGGCTCAGCTCCAGCCACCTACGCAGGCTACTTGCTTGTCGCTGGCAGGACCTGATGGGGACACCCTGCCCGCTTGGGTCTTTTTTTCTCTTGGGTTCTGGAGATTGAACCCAGGGGTACTCTACCAACTGAGCTACCTTTTTTTTTTTTTTTTTTTTGGAGACGGGGTCTCACTATTGGTGTGACACCAACGCTGGCCTCAAACTTGTAACCCTCCTGCCTCAGCCTCCCAAATAGCTGGGATTATAAGAGTGCACCACCACTCTTGGCTCAAGTTTGGGTTCTTGGCAGTCTTCTGATGTGAGGATGGGTTGGAGGGAGAAACTTCTGGAAAGGCTCCCTTCTCTGAGCTGCAGGCCCTGGCTTGGGAGGCCAACACTTTTTTTCTCTCCCAGCCTTCTATGACCTTCCATAGCAAACAGCAACTCTTCCTATTCCTCTTTCCCAGTGATGAGCTATGAACAAGGGGACCAGTCTGTTTTCCCTCACATTTCTTAATGGTTTGGGGATTGTCAATCCCCAAACCATTATGTGCAGATGAGACCCAGGCCTACCCGTCCTCTGATACCTTATCAGCTTTACAATCACAACCCCTAGAGAAGAAAGCCAGAACCCAACCAGGACCTGTGTTCCACAGTAAGGCCATCATGGGTTTTCCCAAGCAGGACTAATTGGGGGAAATGTGTCTACAGCGAGACACGTTCCTGGTAACACACACTGGTTTGGCCCCTACCACACATTTGTGGGTCCTGGCAGCTGGCTGGCAGGAAATGGAACCTTCTGCCTTCCCAGGCCACACCTTTTCTTAAGGACAGGTCAAAGGGTGCATCCCCCAGGCCTCACCAAAGGTTCTGTTTGGTGTTCTGGTAGTGCTGTAATTGCTGCTGGATCCCCTCCAGTTCAGTCTCAAGGTTGTTGTGGCCTGTGACAAAAGAATGAGCTTTCCATCTTCTCTCTGGGACCACGGCAGGTGGCCACTCCAAGGTGAGTGCCCATAGCCCTGGCAGGCCCCTGGTACTCACCTACACTTCCAGAACCAAGCCCAGGCCCAGCCTTGATGCCTGTGAAGTCCTCAGGCAGGAGCAGATGGGAATCAGGGCCACTGGCCAGAGATGGGGGACCCTGGGGCTTAAGCCCAGTGTTGGTGGGCTGTTTTAACACCTGTAAAGGAAAGGAGGATGCTGACAGTAAATCCTCTTCTCCCTGTCTCACTCACTACCTGCTGCCCACTCTACCCCACGGGAGTCAGGGTGACTAGGCCCTGTCCCTTTCCCTGCCTGCTGGACCTGACATAATTGGTCAACCTCCACACCTTTACAGTGCCACCCCGCTGCATGAGAAGCTTCTTAGCACTATCAGCAGCAGACGTTTCAAGCCTGGCTTGGCCTTCTATCCCCACCTTGCTCTGGACTTCTGACCTTGCTAAACTTGGATTTCAGTAACAACAGTGGTCACAGGCAATTGTTCTCCCTGTTTCACCCACACCTGCCTCTACTCTCTCCCATGAAGAGTAGAAGAGTAGACGTGCACCTTCTATCATTGCCAGTCATGGAAGACCACCCTCTGGACCGCCCCCACCCCCAGCCACAGGGTTGTAACACACCACAGGGTTGTGACACACAAGAAGTGGCTCTATCCCCACCCTGTGCCTTTTGGGCACCAGCTTCTTGGGTGGCCTGACCCTAAGACTGTCACTTCTACTATACCCTCTGGTGCTCTCAGTCCTAGCTACTTGTGTCAAGGTTCTCTACATAAGCCTTCTGCCCCACTCTATGCTCTCTCTCAGTGGTTCCCAGGGTTCACCTTCAACCTCTGCTGAGGACATCCAATCTAGATTTCAGTCCCTGACCTCTTTCCTGAAGGCCAGACAATCTTGCTTTCTCTCAAATTTGACAGGGTAAAAAGGGACTCTTGGTGCTTCATCTGAAACCAAGCCCCATCCTATTTTTCTTCTTTTAGAACTCATCCCTCCCCTAGTTACTCAGGCCAGAAACCTATATCATCCTCCCCTCCCTTCTCACATCCACCAAAGCAGGTCCTGTCTAGACCCACATTTTCATCCCCACAGTGTTTGGCCTCAGCATCCAGGCCACTGCAACCTGGATCACATAGCTCCCAGTAGCCCAAAAGGAACCCAGGTTAAAAAAACTTCTTCCTCTTCCCAAATTCCAAACTTTCCAGTATGACCAGCCTGACCCATAGGATCTGTGGTCACTCTATGGGTCTGCACACAAGATTCTTTTGGTTGTCCTGTTGTGAGAACAGAAGCTTCTGAAGAATAGGGACCTTGGCAGGCTATTGGCTGCTGTATTCCTTGGATCTGAAGTACAGAGTTACCAACATTTGGTAAATAAATGGAACCTCCCCATGTCCTTCCATACCAACGTGTTCCAAAAACAACGAATACAGCTGTAGCTATAGCACAAGGGCACCAGGAAGAGAACCAAAGACTAGACCAAAGAATGGGAGGATGGTCTGGTGGTGGACTCACCCTGGTCAATGCTTCCACCCGATAGGGCATGAAGGGGGAAGGAGGCAGTAGTTGTTCTGGGCTGGGACTTGCCACAGTGGGAAGCTTTGAGCAAGGGGCACAAGGCAGGACCCCAGGAAGGAAAGGCCTCATCAGGGAAGGGTGTGCAGGCTGGGCCCCATCTTGGCCCTGTTCTTGAGGCTTCTCAGGCCTAAGCAGAGAGACGACAGGAAGCTGATAAGGCCATGGAATCTTTCTTGGTTTCTCTGAAGATCAGGAAGGAGAGGGGGCTACCTAACATAGGACCTCAAAAACACAGGACCCAGATGAAGGTGTAGCTGCTGAGTGGCCCACAACCACATAACGTACCCTTGCCCCCTGAGGGGGACACACCCCCAAGACCTCTGGCTCTGCATGGGCTCCAGCAAGAAGTGTGGGCGTCGGGGTTGCTTCCTCCCCAAGCGGGCAGTATGGCTGGAAAGAAACATGGGTCTGTACCTTGGGCAAATGGAGGCTGCCAGGGGTCTGAGGTCTCGGGGGGAGGGGGAACCAACCTCTCCAGTGTTATAGGGGAGACTGAAGGTTACATAAGACAAGGCTCTGGCCTGAGGTCAGTAAGTATGTGTGGTGACCCTGGGCCTGATAAAATTCTGTATTTTCTATGAATCCCCATGCACTTCTTTTGGCTTGTGCAGAAATTCTGGTGTCATGGGTGCTCTTCCACATCATAGGAGGTATAGCCTCTGACACTGAGGCTGTCAGTGTGGAGCAGAGAAGAAGGCAGAGCAGAGATGGGGGCCCAGGCCCAGGTGCACTCCACCTACTCAAGATCAAGGCTCTTAGGTAGCACTGGTCACTCTGGGAGATGACAACTGCCTTAGGAGCAGTGTAGGTATAGGGTTTGGGGCCAAGGGGCAGGTGCCAGTCACAAAAAGGGGTTTCTGATGGAACCAATTTCCCCACTATAAAAGAGGGGAGATTAGCAGGCCTGGTACCAGGGGAAGGGACACACATTTATTGAGGGAAAAAAGAAGGGTCTAGAAGCCTCTCTGTTTTCTCTCCCATGCTCTGGGAGGGATGGGATCATGATGGAAGGGAGGGGACCTCAGCTACGACAAGGTCATTCATTACTGGCTCATCCCTTACCCTCCCAGGGTCCAGTTTCCTCCCTCCTGTACATCCCAGCTTTTGCCCAAGGTAGACATGAGAAGGAAGAGGTATGGGTAGGCCACTCACAGCTCCAGGAGGTGGGGCTCCCTGACAGCCAGCGGTAGGCTGCCCAGGACTCCCTGAGGTTGAGGAGTTGGCGGTCTCTTCGTCTCCAGGAAGGCATCCCCAGCCCCAATAGCAATGTGATCAGGAGGGGAACCCTCAAAAGTCACTCTCCTGCTGGTTATGATGGGCACAGGGGGCTGAGACTCCTTGCCCGAGCCCAGGGCCTTCTGTTTCCAGAGCTCAGCACAGTGGCAGACTGCACGGTGAAGACTGTGAGCTGCCTGCAACACAGCTTCTCATCAGTTTCTACTGTCCCCTCTCCACTGTTCAGAAGAAGGGAGCCCCATACCTACCTGGACCTGCTGCTGGGCTTGCAGCTGCTGCCGGGAGGCCTTCATGCTGGCTGTGAAACGCAGGAGCCGTGTGGCACCCTCTTGGAGGAGCTGCTGGTGGTAGGCCTGTACTGCCCGCTCTAGTCGCACCTTCTTCCTCCTCCTCTCCAGCACAAAGCCCAGCCATGCAGCCCAAGTCTTCAGGGAGGGCAACAGGTGAGGACCAGGCCTCCCTCTTAGGGCTCTCCCATGACCCAGGCAACTTCCCCCCACCCATGGCAGGAATGGCAATATGAAGAACCCCAGTTACCTTTGCCTGTAGGGAGAAGGACCAGAACCATAGGGCTCGTGCTGTACTTTGCTGTTCCTGTCTCCTGGCCACCAGCTATGGTCCAGAAAAACTGGGTTATTCAAAGGGGCCACTCTGACCACATGGCCTTGCTTTCACTTTGCCTTGCTCATCACTGTGTGACCAAGGCTTCCATTCTTTCACCAGGAAGAGCCTAACCCTGGGCCTGACTGTGAGGCACTCAACACACTCATGTCTGTAGATCAATGAATGATTCTAGGGAAGAAGGGAAGTGAAGGGCTCTCAGAGGGGAAAATGGCAGCAGCACATCTAGCTTGTGGAAGAATAGTAGAGGGAGGCACTGGGTTTAACCTTCAGCACCACAAAATAAATAAATAAGTAAGTGAAAAATAAAGGTTATTGTGTCTACCTACAACTAAAACAAGTAAGAAAAAATGCTTTTCACATTAATTTTTGGATATTACACCCATGTGTTTAATATGACAATTAGAGATGTGGACTGAGAGGGATGCAGGAAGAGGTATTGTGTTGCCTCCCACCTGCTGTCTCCACCAGCAGAAGCAGGCCTTGCTGAGTCTCTGCACCAGGAGCTGGGCGCCCTGCATCTGCAAAAACTGGGGAGAGAACAAGTATACACGGAGTCAAGTATCCCACATCCTGGGTTCTGGCCCGAGGCAACTGTCCTCCCATTGCCAGGATTCCTAGGTGATCCAAAAGGACTCCTGTATAGGCAGAGAATGTCCAGATAAATTGGTAGGGCCCTCATCGAGGACAAGCCAAGGTCAGGGTGAACCAGGTTTCTCTCCTGAGCCGTATTCCTCCCAAGGGAGACCCAATTCTAAGGCTAACTACCCTGAGCCACCACTAAATGCCCAGGCAGGCTCTTGCTGTCTTATTACCACAGGATCCCAAATAACCCAGCACCCAGGCAGCTGCCTTGAGTTTTGTCCAGAGTCCCTCCTTGAGAGGTGGTCCTGCCTGGCAGCCATCCTAATGCCTGCCACATGGGGGAAACTTGACAGCTGCTGCCTCACCTTTTTCCTGACACACCCCAGATAGTACTCCTTCCACCACGCCATCCCCTTTAACAGCAGCTGCCGTCGGTGATGCTGGGCTGCTCTCTCTAGCTGGGCTCTCTGCTGGGCTGCCCTCTGGCTGCAATCCCGCCATTTCTGAAACCAGGTTTGGAGGTATCCTAGGGCAGATGCAAACTAGAGTTTGACTGTTTGTAGAAGTTTTTAAAGTTACAATGCAGTGGGGAGGTTTGGGGACCAAAGAATGTGATATAGGATAGTCAGGATGTCCAGCCGTCTGTGAGTAAAACTACGACGTGCACCATCGTCACTCTATAAGGATAATTATGACTACCTTCAGTGACTCTTGAGCACTGGAATCAGACTTGTTTATTGCACCTTGCAAGGGTACACTTGCCCTAGATTATACTCCACCTCGGAGAGTCACATACAAGGTGATACCAAGTACTTGGAAGGAGACCCTTAGTCTGAAGAATAAGGGAGCCTCCTGCTGGAGTGCAAGCTTAGAGGAGGAGGCAGACTCGTTTCATCAGATAAAACCAAGGTTCATTCAAGTCATCCTGAGCCATGACCAGATAGGTCTGCCAGCATGTCCTGACTTCCTACACTCTGGGCAAGGGCCACATCCTGCATTTTATTTTTGTCACCAGATTCTCCTTTTGGTGAAAATTTCATGAGCCCCCGAAGAAGTTTCTTTTCAAGACAACAAGAAAAGGGTTGACACTGGGGCACTGATGATACATAGGTGGTTAGCCCATCAGGACCCACTGCAGCAAGCAGGGAAGGAAGCCATCACAGGTTGGAAGCCAACTGTACTATGCACTGATAATCTTGGGAAGATGTCTTTTATTTGCCCATGTATCCATATAATTTCAATGAATTCCCTTTAAGTGATAACCATGGAGGAAGGAACAATATCCCCATTTTACAAAGAGCCGGGATCATGCCTGAGATCACTGAGCCAGATTATGACTTCTAGCCTGCACCACTTCTTTTTTTAAGAGATGGAATTTTGCTGTGTTTCCCAAGCTGGCCCCAAACTCCTGAGCTTGAGCCATCATCTTGCTTCCACCTCCAAAGTAGCTGAGACTATAGACACATACCATTACACTTGGGTAAGCCTGCCCTTATAAGGACTCCACTTAATGTGTCTTATATCTTCTCCTTAGTCCCTCCTCCCCGGCATCCAAAAAAGATGTGCATGAGACTCAGACCTTAATCTAAACCAAGAAATTGATTCCCAAGTATTTATGGTGCACCAACCAATCACTTCTTGGCCTTGGCTAAGATCAAGTGTACTGGCACAAACTACATGCAGTGTCTTGTTCCTTAGCCTCCCAAATCCCTTGTGCCATCTGTAATGGACATGGTAAACCCAGGGCCTGCTATGTGCCACCACCCCCTTCTAAAGAAAGTCCTGCAGAGAAGCAGCTTCAGGCTATACCTGGAACCTATCTCATCTAATTTTCCAGCATGGCCAGAAGTGGATACCTGACCTACAGTAGCTGACCCAAACTGCATCAGGTGTACAAACAGAAATGAAAATAAAAAAGTGGGCTTTGCATTCTTAAACATACATCAGTCAGGACCCAACCAAAGTGGATAAACTTTTGTCCTGTAGCAAATTCTATTAAAGTCAAATTAATAACTTGGCTGATTTTTGCTACAGTCCAATTTAAACCATTTTTGATTGTTTTCACTTCTGTATTTTCATCTATTCTAACCACAGGTTCTCCCCTTTAGAGTGTCACATTTCCCTCTCCACTATGGACCCAACTGTGTTAGAAGATAAGTCCCCATAGGTCTTTTCTGTGTCTGCACATCTTCTGCACAGAGGCATCAATTTCTATCCTGCACTATCAAGGATATTTATACAGCATGAGTGGGATTTCCTGCTCAATGGGACATAGCAAGTCTTTAGTTCTTGAACATATAAGGATCCAACTACATAAGAAAGCAAGGGCTCTTACCAACACAGGGGTTGACTTGATGAGCAGCTGCACTCAGGAGAGGGTCTTTTCCATCAAAACACACCCCCTGCCAGTGTGGTGGCTTATAATACTAGCAACTCAAGGGTTGAGACAGAATTCCAAGTTTGAGGCCAGCCTCAACAATTTAGGCAGACCCTAAGCAGCATAGTGAGACTCTTTCTTTTTTTTAAAAAAAAAAAAAAAAAAAAAGGAAAGATGTGGGAAGTTGGAGATGTAGCTCAGTGACAAAGTATCCCTGGTTTAAATCCCCAGTACCAAAAACAAAAAACCTACACCCCCTTAGCTGGGTTCAGTAGCACATACATACCTGTAATTCTGGCACTCAGGAAGGAGGCTGAGTGCAGAGGATCACAAGTTCAAAATCAGCCTGAGCAAGACTGTCTCAAAAAAATAAACAGGGATGGGATTGTGGCTCAGTGGTATAGCATTTGCGAGGCACTAGGTTTGATCCTAAGGACCACATAAAAAATAAATAAAATAAAGGTATTGTGCCCATCTACAAATAGAAAATATTAAACGAGGGGCTGGGGCTCAGTGGTAGAACGTTTGTCTAGCATGAGTGAGGCCCTGGGTTTGCATCTCAGCACCACATACAAATAAATAAATAACTAATAAAAATATTTTTTTAAAAAGAAAAGAAAATATTAAACGAACAGGGCTGGTGATATAATCCCTGGGTTCAATCCTCTGTAACATACACATACACACACACTCCCTGACATTTACCACTCTTCCATTCCAGCTTCATTTTTTAATTTCCTCATGGATGACAAGCCTTGGCCTTCCATTTTTACACAAGCTTGTGAATCCATTGGGAAGGGAATTTTATAATATAATATACTGGATTGACTAGCACCCCCACGCCTCAAAGATTCATGTCTTTCAAGGTCATGAATTAATAAAGTAATGTCACACTAGAGCAGGGTAGGTCCTAAATCCAATATGTGTGCTGGGGAAGAAGCTCAGTGGTAGACTACTTGCCCAGTACGTGTAAGGCCCTGTGTTCAATCCCCAACACTGAAGGAAAAAAAAATCAATATGCCTGGTGTCTTTATGAGACCCAGAGACACAGGAAGAAAACATCAAGTGAAGATGGAGGATGAGAATGAAGTGATGTATCTACATGAACACCAGGGATGGCTGGCAGCCAGCAGAAACTAGAAAACTCAAGGAAGGATCCTCTCCAGACCCTTTGAAGGGAGTAAGTCCTCCCGACATCTTGATTTCTAGCCTCCAACACTGAAAGAATACATTCTTGTGGTTGAAGCTTCCCAGTTGTAGGGAGTAAATGGAACCCAAGACAGTTCTGCATCTTTCACACTCCTTTTGATACTTCTTGCTTCCAGGATCCCCACTTACCCTTATCTAGCACCTTCCGGGCCTCTCTGAGGATATCTGCCTCCTGTTGTCGGTAATATATTTGCACTGATGCTACCTCCCGCCACTGGAGCAGGATCTACAGGCAGGCAAAGAACATAGATCACTGTATGTCCTGACTTCTAAGGACACGTGAGGTCTATGATGGTAGCTCCTGGTGAGGTGAAGCCAAATGGTTGATGTTTGGCTCTGACACACTTCTAAGAAGCACCCGCCATCCATGCACCATCCATATAGACCTAGGACACAGCCTCAGGTCCCTCTCAGGCCCTAAGAGGTGCTGGGACTTTTCTAGAGGATTTAAACTATACCACGCTACAGAGAAATAAAGTAGTTAACACATTACATGAGCTTTAATTATATTATTATTTGTTAATCAGATCATATACAGTATATGCACTCTTTCCTATTAGAGATACATACAAAATCACAATAACAAAATACATTGAAAAGTCAGGCAGGAGAAGCCTGAGGCCTGTTTCACATTCATGATCCCCATTTCCACCAAAATCATCTCCCTTCCAAGCTTGGAATCTTAGCTTGGATCTCGTTTCCTCCTTCCAGAGCAGGGGATGGCTTTCGAGTTTAGATGGCTTTAGTCTGAGAACAGACTGGCCCTTGACCAAATATAATTGCTTCTCTTTCACAGAAGCTTCATTTCCAAGACTGGCCTGTATCTGCTTTATTCTAAAAAACATCTAGGGCTCAGGGATTCCATTTGTTTGAGTTCCCTCTTTTCTGTAACATATTTTCTTCCCATAGCCATGTCCTGCCAATGTCCCATTCCCAGAGCTTGGGACCAGCGCTACCATATGATATATTTCCATACCCATTCCACAGATAATAACTAGTTCACTTACTATGTGCCATGTTTTTACTGTAATGGGCATTGATTCATACTTTTAGTAAAAAAACAAACAAAAAACAAAAAACACCTGCAGACATGGATGTATGTCTGTGTGCTAGAGGAAGGTTATCTATTTTTTGGGTATCTTACTCAGTGTTAATCTTTAGCACCAGTCCCTACCCAACACCCTGGCTGAAACATGGCCCCTAAGTTCCCTGGATAACCAGCTTGCCTCCCTGTACCTCACCTTGGAACACATGGTCTTTCTGTAGTGTGCACTTGCTTGCAGGACTTTTCTGGCCTCATCCACACGGGCCACTGTGTTCTCTCTCCAACGACATAACACCCGCCTGCAAGTACATGGCCAGGCCAGGGCAGAACCTCAATATGGAGAGACATGGGAAGCCTCTGTGAATTGTTCCTCATTCTCTCCCCATACCTGAGTTAGTATTCTCCATGCCTCTGAGTATCTGCTTCACTGACACCCAAATTTATGCTCATGTCTACATCCAACAAACAAATGCTAGGCACCTGTTCTGTGCTAGACATAAAGTGAGTAGCCAATACCCAGTAGTGCACAACACCACATCTTTAGAAGTTTAAATGATAAAATGAATATGGAGCTCTAACTAGGTGATAACAATACAGGCAATTCTCGGGATAATAAGTTCAGAGAGATAGGGAAGATGGGGAAGGACAACTAAAATCCAGCATGTACTTGCTGTGGAGTTAGTGAAGGATTACCTAGTGTGAACCCCAGAAGAGTAATGGAGATGTTTAAAGTTCACAAGGTCCTTAGCCCACATGCCACCTAGAAAAGTATGTGCTGAACATAAACAAAGGAAGGAAAAGAGAGAGGGGAATAAGAAAGGCCTAACAGAAAAGAGTGAGTTCAGAGCTTAACCAAGAAGGAATGGAGGGTGGGCCATAAGTGCCCTTCAAAGATGAGCAATGCAGATAAGTCTCAGAGGGCTGGGAGGTGACTCTTAAGAGTCAACTGTGAAGGAACCATTTGGGAACTGACAGGAAAGGGGATCACTGCAGGCTCCAGGGCAGAAGAGGAAATGGTGCCTTGAGAGATTTTGCAAGCATCCAGGAGAGGTCTGCTTTTCAAGGTCCTACTCTGACAATAGCAGGAGTTTAAAACATACTGAATGAAGCAGTAAACACAGTGCATTGCTGTGGAAAAGCCAGAACCACAATTTGAACAATAAGAGACACTCAGAACCATCCTCTGCTTGGCCCAAGGCAGGAATCTATAGTGTCTGGCTCTGTTCCTTCTTGCTGAGCCTGAGCCCCCACAAGACCCCCGGGAGACTCACCCCAGCAGCTTCCTGTTGTGCTGGCTCTCCCTGGCTGCCACCTCCTGTAGGATGCTCTGCACTCTGCCCTGGTAAGCCTGAAAGAGACAAAAATGACTGGAGGCCACTCCTGGGCCTACACTGCCCCTTATTCCAGGTAGGCGTTAAAGGTGCATTTATAATAGGGGGCCCAGAGCACTCACAAAGGGTGAGGACAGGCTGAAGGACGCTATTCCAAGGCCAGCAGATACCCCAGACTGCCCAACTAGGCCCTCCCCTAATAGGTCAAACCCCTGGACTCCTATTCATGAGCCTGTTTTTGTATAAGGCCATGTACTTGTTTTCACTTTGCCCAGTAAGAACTGACAGATCCTGTGGCTCTGAGACCCATTGTCTTGGGCACCTACACTGTTTGAGGCTTGTTGAATTATTCTGGGGAAGGACAGGAAAAACAAGGGGGAAAAAAAAAAAAAAAAAACAGTTTCCAGAAACATCCCCTGCCCCTACAACAAGGTGATCTGGAGGAAAGAAGTGGCTCCTACCAGCCACTTCTGCAGCGCCCTGTGCAGGGTAGCACGCCGGCCATGCAGGTCTGCTTGCATCAGCTTCTGCTGCTCAGTGGCACGCAGGGCCAGGCACTGTGGACAAAGGAAAAAGCAGCCACCTGGGCTAAGAGACTAGGTGGGGGACAGTTTCAGTTCTGCTGCCATCTTATATTCCATTTGTTTGAGCTTGCATAAAGTACTTAACCTCACTGAGCCTCAGTTTCCTCATCTGTAAATATGTGCTTCGAAGGGGTTTTGTGAGGACCAAATGAGGCAGGTCCCTAACTTATAATGGTCAATCATTGTTATCTTAAACATTTTATACACCCAATAGGGTCCCTATAAAGGGTTAGATTAGGAATTTAGATTCTGGAAATTCACATGTGATCAGCCTGGTACCTAAAAGAACAAGAAGTTCCTGAGCTAATCATCGCATAAAAGTGAACTGACATTGCCTCATCTGCTGCCTGCCCTCCTCCCCTAGCTCAGAGATACGAGCCTTCCAAGGTACTGCCAAAGAGCCCATCTGTCCACTCTGAGTCATGATGATAATACACAGCTCCACCTGTCCAAAAGCCACTCCTGGGTGGTACCCGTGCCAAAGCCTTACCTCCCTCCACCTGTTCCAGGCCCAACGCAGGAGCCGTACCCGGTAGAACTCCACAGCCAGTGCCCTGCCCAACCTCCTGCAAGATGACAGGTGGATATCAGCCATGCAGCCCAGATCCAGGTGGGGGCCTCCTGATGGGCTCCCCTTCACAGACTCTGGCCCCTACTTAGTGGTTAAGTTTTGGGGGGAGTCAAGGCCCTCTATAAAGATCTGCCAAAGGACTTGGGCTCTCTTCCAGAAAAATTCACATGTAATCAAATTTTTGTACACAATTTCATGGGCCTGAAGTGGCACTAGGGCCTATTCCTTTGTAGGTATGCTAAAGCCCTGTCCACTCCTGAGAAGGTGCCTGAATGTGGCCAGAATGTGAGAGGTAATAAGATTCTTAGAACACACTAGTGGATACAGAAAGGTACCAAAGCAGGAAAACCTCTGCAGTGGACATGGACTGCCTACACTGTCCATCCCCCACAGCTACATGGTATGGTAAAAATTACTGCCCATTAGCCTTAGCCACTAGGTTCTGGCCAGTTATCCTCAAATAGGCTTATCAGTCTATTCGCTGGCCATAGTCACTTCAAATGGGCTCCAATTAGTAAGCAAAATAATGGATAGGACCTCCCAAATCCACAGAACACTTCTGTTCCAACTGAGATCCTACCGCTGGGAATACCATGATCCTCAAGGAACACCCCAAGATCCTCTCCCTATAGTCCGAGTTTTATTTAGACTATTTCAGGTTGAATTTCTGGAACTTACAACCGGTCTAGGTTAACACAGGCCTCTGGGCAGGCACTTGGAGACAACCTTGGTGCTATGGTCCAAACTGGCCTGGGTAGAAAGGACTTCTGATACAGAACTGATCACTCACTCTTTTCTGAGCCCTTGGGCACTCTCCCTCCATGTGTGGAAAACATTCCTCAGTTGTCCATGGTGGTGGTGGGCACAGGCCACTGCTTGCCACTCTTGCTCTTGGTGATGTGCTGCTGCCTGCTGGTGCCAGGTGGACCAGGACCTATGCAGAAGCTGTCGCTCTGCATGGAGGATGGCCTGAGGGACAACAGGAGGAAGAGAACAAAACAAGTCAGATAGGAGACTCCACAGGTCATGAATAATGACCAAGGAAAATAAAAATGGATTTTTAGGTGTCCTGGCCCAGAAGCTATCTATAAACTCTACTGACAACAGACACAGCTGGCCAGAACCTGTTCCTGGCTTATAAGTAACAGGAAGGAATGCTGTAGTATAGGCCTGAGTTCTGTGCAACTTCCTGAAGAGGGAACACAGTGAGAGCAGGATTTAAAACATGTCCTAACCCTTTAGGAACCTCCTCAGGGAGAGTTCTTACCATTGTCTCTGCCAAGCGGTTTTCTCGATGCTGAAACATCTTCTGCCACCAGATAGAAAAAACTTGCTTCTCTAATGTCTCCCTAAAAATAAAAAATAAAAACTGAATAGTAGTTAAACACATTTAAAAAAAAATCCACAGGACTACAAGTTTCAAATACTCAAGATTTGCCCTTGATAGTTCTAATGAGGAAAAAAGGAAAGAAAATGGGAAGGAATGCAGACAATAATATCACCCATAAAAAACTCCAAACTCCAACATTTCCCCAGGTATTTCTGGCATCAGAAGCAGAGATTTGAGATCCAGAATGCTAAAGAAGCTGGAATTTAGGATCAGGCTATTGGAAAAGTGGGTGTTGAGCAAAAGAAAATACCCAGAATTTTACTGAGGTACTTCCAGGTCCTCAGATGAGGGCACACTCTCTGAGGCCCAGCAGACAGTGGTTCTTGCAGATCTAAGGGCCATATAAAGATACCAGAGGTTGGACAAGAATGGCCTAGCGAGAGTGGAGAGAACAAAAACAAAAGCTTAGATCGTTTCTATTTCACTTGTACAATAAATATGCTAAAGATTAAAGGGAAATGATAAAAATGAAAACTTAAATCTACATGAAGAAACAAGAACAGTAGAAATGAAAAGTATAAGGGTAAATATAAGAGAATATTTTTTTCTTAATTTTTAGAAAGATTTCATGATTATTAAAAGCCAAAAAATATGGTTTTGTGGGGTAAAAACTATGCATTGTAGATGTTAAATACATGACAACAAATATCAAGGAAGGGAAGAAAATGGAACTTTACTGTTTTTATATTTTATATTTAATATAAAATGGTGTACAACTGTAATAAGTGAAGGATGCACACTGTTATCTCTAGAACAATGATTTAAAAACTACAATGGCAACAATAATGCATCAATAAAAATGTATCAATTGAAAAAAATACAAATAAAAGTGAAAAAAAACTACAATGATACTGAGCTAAAAAATATCAGGAAGTAAAATGAAATACTAAAAATTTTTAAATGTCCTCTATACAAGGCAAAAAGGGGGGAAAAATAGACTTTAGTCCACCCATACCATGGTTACATGAAATATAAATGAACTAAACATTGTAACTATAAGGCAGAGATTGTCAGACTGGATTACAAAAATTAAGAAGCAATTAGATGATCAAGAAATACATGAAAAAATGCTCACCATCTCTAGCAGTCAGAGAAATGCAAATCAAAACCATCCTAAGATACCATCTCACTCCAGTAAGATTGGCAGCCATTATGAAGTCAAACAACAAGAGATGTGGGGAAAAGGGTACACTTGTACATTGCTGGTGGGACTGCAAATTGGTGTGGCCAATTTGGAAAGCAGTATGGAGATTCCTTGGAAAGTTGGGAATGGAACCACCATTCAACTCAGCTATTCCCCTTCTTGGACTATTCCCTAAAGACCTTAAAAGATCGTACTATAGGGATACTGCTACAACGATGTTCATAGTGGCACAATTCACAATAGCTAGACTGTGGAACCAACCTAGATGCCCTTCAATAGATGAATGAATAAAAAAATGTGGCATTTATACACAATGGAGTATTACTCTGCACTAAAAAATGACAAAATCATGGAATTTGCAGGGAAATGGATGGCACTAGAGCAGATTATGCTAAGTGAAGCTAGCCAATCCCTAAAAAACAAATGCCAAATGTCATCTTTGATATAAGGAGAGCAACTAAGAACAGAATAGGGAGGAAGAGCATGAGAAGAAGATCACCATTAAACAGGGACGAGAGGGAGGAGGGAAAGAGAGAGAGAAGGGAAATTGCAAGGGGTAAAGGAAGGAGACCCCCATCGTTATACAAAATTACATGTAAGAGGAAGTAAAGGGAAAGGGGAAAAAACAAGAGAGAGAAATGAATTACAGTAGATGGGGTATAGAGAGAAGATGGGAGGGGAAGGGGGATAGTAGAAGATAGGAAGGGCAGTAGAATACAACAGACACTAGTACGGCAGTATGTAAAAAAGTGGATGTGTAACCGATGTGAATCTGCAACATGTATACAGGGTAAAAATGGGAGTTCATAATCTGCTTGAATCAAATGTATGAAATATGTCAAGAGCTTTGTAATGTTTTGAACAACTAATAATAAAAAATGAAAAAGAGGCAATTAGATGTTGTTTATAGGAGATATGCTTTATTAAACATGAATACAGATAAACTAGAAGTACAAAAATGGAAAATCATAAAAACAGTAAACATAAAAAAGCAGGTGAGATTATATAAATATAATATAAATATAAAAGGCAGACTTTTACAAAAACAAATATTACCAAAACTAAAGAAGTTCATGTCAAAATAATAACAGGGACAATTCATCAGGAATATATAACTATCTTAAATGTATATACACAGATAACAGATTTTCCAAACACATCAAGCAAAACTGACAGTATTACTGAAAGAAACAGATAAACCTATAAGCAAATAAAATATGTAAGGGCAGAAAATTTGAAAATGAATTTTAACCTATTTGACTTAATATTTAAGACCATTATACCCATCAATTGGGTATAAACTTTTTTTTTTTGATACTGAGAAGTTAATCCAGAGGCACTTAACCACTGAACCACATTCCCAACCCTTTTTTGTATTTTAGTTAGAGACATGGTCTCACTCAGTTGCTTAGTCACTAAACTAGACACACACAAACTCACTCTCTCTCTCTCTCTCTAAAAAAAAATATATATATATATAT